AATAACAACAACAACAACAAAAGGCACCTCTCGTGCCCCTTAACCCTTCGCGCCAACGATTCCCAATTCACAATGGAAGCACATTGTATCATCATGATTCCTGACTTGGGAAAAGCAACTCGTCGTCAAAATTTATTGATACAAAAGAAAAGCAAAGAAAAGTTGTAGCAAACGCCCGGAGCGACGGATCGGCAAATCTATATACATCAGAAGCCAACCGGCCCACCATTTTCTGACTGTCCCCAGCCGCCGCTTCGAAGCCATGAACTGAGCTCAACCTTTGAACGCCGCCGCCGTCTTGCCATTTGGCAATGGGACAGTTGCCGTTGCCCGCGTCACGACCACCGGCGTCCCTACCGCCGTGATGGTACTCTTCAGTGTCTGCTCCGTCACAGGCACAGGCTTCGCCTCGGGCGCCACCGTTGGCCCTGGGATTATATACGTCGACAGCGCCGTGTAGATATCGATGACCACCCCCGGGTCTGTGGGCTTATACAGCGCCGTAGCCGGCACTCCTTCCTTCTGTCCGGCCACCACCACTTCTTCCTTGCCGATTGTTGCGGCCTTTGGTCCCGGAGCCTCCACCCACAAGTTCACGCACTGCGGGTAGTTCTGCGCTCCGTCTTTGAGATTGGCGTAGTGTAGTGCGATCAGCTCGTGACGCAGCACGTACGGTCCCGGCTCGAGATCGCTCGGCAACCCCAACAACCAAGTGTTGTTCTGGGCAATGAGGACATCGGTTGCCCATCTGCCCGGAGGGCCGCCTTTTTTGTCGAGAAATACCGGGAACGAGTCATCGATCTTGGTCCATGACAGCGTTCTCTTGTCTACAGAAGCGCAACCATCTGTCGTGTTGGCGCAGGGGGCGAGGTACGACAGGACGGGGCCCTTGTGGGATTGGGGCCAGCCGTTCCATTGAACCTGGATCTTGTCTCCGGCTTTGACCGGCGCGTGTGCTCTAGCGGGCTTGCCGTCGCGGTGGCAGATAATGTCGGGGTTCGAGTAGTTGGAAGGCGTTACGAAGCCATCGTCAACTGCGCTTGTTGACCAGCCGATGCTGTTGCTGACGGCATCGGGAGCATGGGGATTGAATCCTCGATACTGCTGTCCGTTGATGATGAGGTAGAGAATACGGGAGTGTGCAAGGGCTTGGGAGAACAAGGCGCAACACGCCAAAAGTCTCAACGCTCTGGCCATGATGTCTGTCGAGTAACGAGGTGGGAGAAAGCAGTGAATCTGTCAAGTTCAAGCACACTGGGATTCGGCTGGAGGCACTTTGCAGAGACCCTCGTTCTTGGCTGCGGATGATGACGCTTGAGAGACGGGACGGGAAGATGCAATTCAGGATACACAAGGTGATTATTTATCATCTTCCCTCCATCTTACTCGGGTTGCTTATGCTAACTCCTTCGGCCAGCTCATGAGCCTGGTAGTCGGGTTCGTGGCCCGAACAACTGCCTCAAGAGCACGCATATCGAGTCGATCGGCATGTATTTTTACCTGAAAGTCGGCAAGCAGCGAGAACAGACGACTCGGTTAAGCTTCACAAGTCAAAGGTCCGAATCCCTCGACGATCACTTGATCCATATTCTCCATAATCTCCATGCCGTCCGCCTGACAAACGGGAAATATCCAAGACGATCGAAAAGTGGAGGATGATGAAGCCGGCACGGCATTTCATATGCTCCGTTCGTATTATATAGTACCATAAGTTTCCAAACAGGCTCCTCACTTTACCTCAGCTTATAGGCTGCGCCGGCTAAACTGCCCGTGTCTCCCTCGGCCAAGCAGGGCTTGGTGATGCTCGCCGCTCCAGGGGTTTAGGAGCATCCTCCGTCTCCAAGTGGAGTGTTGGGGTTCACTGTGGGGTGGTTCATCTACCTGACGAGAACAGCGGCCTTCCGGATCCATCCTTCTCGGAGCCGGTAGCCGACTGCCTAATCCGGGAAGATCGTCTGTTTTGATTGGGTAAGGGGAAAATGGAACATCCCCGTCAAGCGGCCGTTGACCATTTCCCTCCCGCAAACATGTCAGATCGTCAAAATTGAAACATTGTCTTGAGCCGTGGGAGATGTTCGCGAATTTATACGAGTCTTCGTCATGCGTCCAACAACCTGGTGCGTTGGCAAAGTGCAGGGTCTTGGTTGCTTTAGATTCCATGTTCTACTTTCCTTCATGCTTTCCATCTCTTTTTTCCATCTTCACATTTTCTCTCCTTGCTCTTCCGCACTCCAAAGTCCATCTTATTTGGCCCTCCACATTCCCTCCCTTTGCCATCTGCCTATGGCCTTGCCCTTAGTTTTGGTGTGGACTTTCCTCAATCTTCCGTAACCCAACTCCAGCCCTCTCCGTATCATTCCATCGCATAGTTCTGGTCGCTTGGCCTCTTTCGCAAACGGTTTTTGGGTCCCCGGTTTTTCTATGCTCGTATCATATGAGCTGTCTTAAAGTCAAACCGTCGAACCACAGTCCTTGGATCTGCAGCACAAATTCTCAAGGGCCGTAGTCGCGGTGCATCACGACGGTTTTTCTTCTCTCGTTGATGTAGTGCTCGGTACTCGTCCCATCGACGAGTACTCCGTACAGCACCCTTGTGCCCCGTTGCCAATGAAACTTTCTGAGAGTTGCGTCTTCAGGCCAGTGGCCTTCAGGGAGTTCGTGATGGTCACAACACCTTCTCCTTTCGTAGTCACGCTCAAAGTTCAAGCCCGTGACTTTGACGATGTCAGGATGGAAAGTAACGGCGTGGCGCAGGCGCAGGCCCTCGTGAATGGCGGCAGGGAAAGTGTCTCCTTGGTCCTCATACGCGTCTTCATAATCGACCAGAAGCTGTATACCCCTTTCCTGGTAAAGGTCGAGATGGTCTTTTTCGAAAAACTCCCTGGCATATGCGCCCAGGCCGTCCCTGCTCCATGGGCGATGCCTTGTGATAGACACCCTGACCCCTTTCAACAATGGGGTACAGTTCATACTGGCCACAGCTGCAGTCAGTCCTTCCAATTGTGGCCTGATCCGAGCCTTTGTCACATCGATCTGTGTGATGTCAAGTGAATCGAGACTTGGACACCCAGTGACTAGTCTGACCAGCTGTTGTTCTTGGGACCATCGATATCCTTCCACCCTAAAGCACCATGGGAGATCTGCAGGACCCTCAAGTTGGGGAAATCACCGAGGGTTTGAATCAGGTTCTTGTCGGTGTCCATGCTACCGCGGGTCCTGAAGAGGAGGTCAAGAAGTGGCATATACCTGATCGATATTGCCGTGAGAGTCTCTGACCGTGGCCTCAAGGCTTTCAATACCAGGGCGGGACCCAGAAAGTCGAATCCGGACGAGGATGGAAGTGGTCGACCAGTTGTAGGACTGGCTTCTGAGGTAAATTTGAAGGTTGCCAAGTTGGGGCAACCGTCAATAATATCCTGGAGGTGAGCTTCCCTCAGCCATGCACAGTAATGGAGTTCTAGCGAGCTGAGGCTGTACAGTGGTGGCAAGAGAGCTCTTGGTATCCGACTGGCCCAGACTTCAGTAGAGAGGGAGGGGCGCATGGAGGGCGAAGAAGCGGGAGGAGGAGGAGGAGGGAGGGGGGGGAGGAGGAAGAAGGCTCATTTGAGTCATGGCTGCTATTACTGCTGCTTCCATAAAGCCGGTGAAGGTCGGACTCGGGTGGGCCTTGCTTGCTTGCTTGCTTTGCTTGTTTGCGTATGTGGCTTTGGGTAAACGCTTCCTCGAATTCGGCGAGGACTGTCACTCTGCATTGAGCTAGACGCAAAAAAAAGGCAGAGGAGTGGGAAATAGGTTTATTTATATCTATCTTCATAACGCGATATTGATTCCTCCCACTGATATCGACTCCTGTGCCTGCGCCTGCGCCATCTCCATCTCTATCGGCCCGGCGCTTGAATGAAGACAGTGTATCATCAGGCCTGGGTTGGTTTCGTTTCGTTTCGTTGGGTTCATTGCTTCACCGTCCGTCATTGGAGTCACTGGAGTCACTGGAGTCTGGTCACTGTCACTGTCACTGTTACTGTCACTGTCAACAAAACAAACAAACAAACAAACAAAAAAAAAGGGCCGAGGGCACGCACTCGTGTGGGTACGGTAGGTAATCGACGACTACCTACCTAACCTACCGTCTGGAAAAGAACGACTGATGACGTGGATGTAGACGTGCTTGTCCAAGTGAAGAGGTGTCCGGGTATTGGTAGAGATCGGATCGGATCGGATCGGATCGGACCCTGTTAGTACCTAAGGTACCATAGGTATCACCTATGCACTATGCTTCCTCTGTGACCTCTGCCTCTGCCTTTGTCTCTGCGTGACTGCACAAAGAGCCGGAGCCGGAGCCGGAGCCGGAACAGAAATCCGAGACATTCATTGTGTGTGTGTGTGTGTGTCGGGAATGGCTTGGTAATTATGAGCATTTATGTCGGGCTGGCTGTGGAGTGATTTACTGACTTAGAACTAGGTTGTTATCGCTGTTTTTGCGGTTCAAGGACTGCGTTGGAGTATCATCTTGGGGGGAGGGGGGGGCATGGAAAGAGAAAAAAAAGAAAAAAGGAAGTTCTTTGTGTTGTTGGTTTAGAGGTTGGTATTTCTATATATAAGGTAGGTATAGAAACGGAACTACATGCAGTAAGCACAGCAGAGTCTGTCTGGGTCGAAAAGACCAGACCAGGCCAGCCCCAGGCCAGACCAGAATCCATCAGAATCGAGATCAGAGTTGGGCTCTATCATAAACTTTAAAGGCTAAGCAAGAATGTTGTCATGGGGGATATGGATGGATATGGATGGATGGCTTACGTATATCCATGCCTACCTTACACAGTAGACTACCAAGCGAGCGTCGATGATAGATTATCTGTGGTAGAAGCCCCTCCTTATGGTAGGTAGCTGTTCATCGCGCTAGCTAGGTAGCTCATTGTTCTATAACGCTCGTGTTGTTGATCAGTACGGTATAGAACAAGTTAGGTACATCGTTTACCTCTGTAGCTACCTACCTAGCTACCTAGGTAGGTAGTATCGACGAGTTCTATGATTAGGTATATAGGCGCCTTCCTTGTTAGGTATTTATTAGAACTGAACTGGGACCCGCAGCGCGCGTGGGTAGGTACTGAAGAAAGAAGCAGGGGAAGAAAGACGAAACGGAAGGAGATACTTTACAAATAAACTAAAGTCCAATAATACCTACCTACTGTAGTAGCTTTTGAGTACCAGGCATGTGACTGAAACGGTCCCATATCGTCAGACTTCATTGCGTGGGTGATGAAACGCCCGTCCGTCACGCAGAAGAGCTTACCTAGGTACTTCACTAAAACATATCTGCTGGAAGAGAATGAAAACCCTATCTATCTTTTGTTGTCATTTGTAAAATCCAAACTAAACGTCTTCCAAGCTAATGGTAAACACCCGATCTGGTAAAGCAAATCTTCCTATCCATCCATCCATGATCATGAATGATAGTGGATTCCGTGTCTTTTTTCCCCCTTTTGAAGTAGGGTGTCTACTCCACCAAAGCGCGGTGAATTCCAGGTCTACCGTAAAGTAAAAGCTAGGAAACAACCAATGTTATCTTTTTGTATCCCAGTTGACCAGTAAGTACCTTAATCTATCTATTGTATTGTATAAAAAGTCCAGATCCATTGAAGACGACTGAATGAAAGAAAGAAGATGAAAGCGAGCTACCTAACTCCTCGGAGCGTTGACGCTCAACAAAAACCCCGTTGATCGACCGGCGATCTGGATTTCCTGTCTGCCAACGATGACCTTGGAGCAGCACACCCATATTAAGAATTACCCCGGCTCATATCTTTATCAAGCGGCCAGTTATCTATAACAAAAAAACCAAAATCACTGTGTATATCCCATATCCCGTTTCCCGATGTTCCATCTCTGCCTGAGCGATCCAACCAGGCTAGTCTAACCATCCTGTTTCCTATCATAACCCGTATCCCAAAAACGCCGTCCATGATCATCACGCATCTCATCTCATCTCGTCTTGTCCCGTCAAAACCATATCAGACCACATCAAAAGTACCCGCCCGGCCCTTGCTCTGCAGGCACAGCAACCTGCTGTTGTTGCTGAAACTGCTGCAGCTGCCGGGGCGGTTGAATTTGAGGACCAGCAGTCTCCAACATCTCGATCCCCTTCACATCCGCACCAAAATCCATAATCAAAATCTTGGGATCCTGCCCTGAGCTCACAATGCGTCTGTAATCGCTCTTGGCGGATAGTACCCAACTATTATGCCACTGCGGGAAATCCAACAGCTGGGCACCGGTGTCCATATCCCAAACCTTGATGTCCGTATCGTAGCTTCCGGAGATCAACCTGCCGGACACACTGTCGACGTGCAAAGAGCGGACCAAATCGCCATGGGCCTTCATCTCGCGCACGCACTCGCCCGTGTTGGCGTCCCAGATGCGAATGACGCGGTCGTTACCAGCGGACGCCACGTAGCGGCCATCTTCGGAGAACTGGCTGCAGGCGAGACCCTTGGTGTGACCGAGGAACTCGCGAATCTGCTTGCCGGTTTCGATGTTCCAGAGCTTAACGCGGAAGTCGCCGGAGCAGGAGACGATGGTGTTGCCACGCATTTGCACGGCGTTGACGGGACCGGTGTGGCCGCGGAGTTGCTTGAGCAGGGCGCCCGTGGCGCGGTCCCAGACGCAGATTGACACGTCCTTGGAGCAGGTGACGATGTGCTTGTCATCGAAAACGAGGTCGAGAACGGCGGCCGAGTGGTGACGGAGTTGGCGGACGGGTTGATAGCCGGAGGCAATGTCGTAGACAATGCAGGTGGCATCGGAGGAGCCTGTTACAAGGATCTCATCGTCGTATTGAAGGCAAAGAATCGAGGCTCGGTGGAAGATGGGTGGTGAAAAGAGCGCGGGGGAGGAGAAGTGGCTCCTAGCAGGGGTTTGGAGTTGACCGTTTGCTGAGGGGTGGGGATCAAGTTCGGGAAGGGTCGCATAGTGAATGGCATTGCCAGCTTCGTCATAGAGAAGTGACAAGTCGGAGTCGTTGATGATCTCGGGCGGGCCTAGAACAAGCTTGCAGGAGTAGGTCTTCATGTCCCAAACGCGGATGGTTTTGTCGCGGGAACCGGTAATGATTTTGTGTCTAGTGACGTTAGCATATGACCTGATTTCGAGGGAGCAAATCTGGGACGTACTCGTCAAACTGCAAGCAGTAGATACTATCGGTATGGCCGTGGAGGTAAATAGGGCGAGCTTTGCCTTCCTTCCATCTCTTGTCAAGTTCCTCTCTGACCCTGTAAATCTCCTTCCAGTTGTTTCCAGGGCTAATTGCTGGCACACCAAGGCCAGTTCCAGGCTTGACGGCTCCGCTCGTGGCATAGGTGGTAGTCTTCTCTCGCAAGAAAGACTCCCGCCAGATATGCTGATTCTTAACAGCACGGTTCCACGACTTGCTGACGAGGGAGGTAGAAGCCAGTGATGTCGCGTCCAGTTGTCCCAGAATATGGATCCCGAGTTCGACGGGAAGTCGGGAAATGAAGTCGACCTTGATGATGTCCACCTCGTCGTTGGGCGAGGGGCTGTTCAGCTCAATGTCGACATCAGAGTCAACTCCATCCATGAAGACGTCGGACTCGGACGATCCACCTCTCGTGACCGCAATGCCAATTCCACTCTCGTAGTCGTCCATGCCGTTGTTCGCCCATGGTCGGGGTGCAGGGATGTTGATCATCTCGAAGCCGTGACATGCGCTCGCGGCGGCTTGTCTTGCTGCAGCACCGGTATTACGGGGAATGATCGGAGGTTGCTCGCCGGAACCAGGGACAGGAAGGGGCGGTGAATCGAGGGCGTTATGACCGAAGGGGTATTCGCCCTGGTGGTGGGACATCCTGCGGGAATGGCGGTGGAAGCTCGTGGCTTGGCGCAACTTGTTCCAAGTCGAGTGCGCAGTAGTGGGACGAGCAGCAGGAGTAGGCTGAGAAGGACCGGCACCGACATCTTGACCGAAGGTCGTGGTATCCGGAACGGAGGTCCTCCTATGGACGATGCCCTTCACACCCGAACGGAAGGAGACAGAGGCTCGACGCAGCATGCCCTTTAACTTGTGACCCTGCTTATGATGGGCGGGGACGGACTCGTCGCTCGCGGCGCTGTTCTGGCGGTGACTGCGGAACGGGCCATGGTTTTGTCCGAATATGCTGTGCTGAAGGGTCGAGTCTCTTGGACCATGGCTATCTGTCGTCGACTTTGCGTTGTGCCAAGGTGGTGAGACGCTGAGACTATGGCCGCGGCGACGGTTTGTCTTGGTCGAGGACTCGGCGCCGTGGGGAGACTGGGCTTCCTCCATCGAGGCGGTTGCGCGAGCGTGTGCCTCCATTGTTGAGGGTCGGATTCGGGCGTGAGGTGAGGGCCGACGAAGGTGCGTTGTCGTAGGAGGAGGAGCGCCGAAAGGATTGCGCCGGATGGGACGGGGACGAGGACGGGGACGAGGACGGGGACGAGGACGGGGACGAGGACGGGGAACGAAGGAGGGTGGAATGGCGGAGAAGCGATCGAGTTAAAGCAATTAAGTAGCGTATCAATCTGATGTCATTGACCCATGTAGCCCACTCTGGTCAGACAATGAGGTTGAACTTTTCCCCTTTGCGGCAAGCTGAGGTCTGCACGAGTGTATCGGGACTGTTTGGACTGCGAGGTTTTCCGCAGACGTCGGACTGGCTAGGTGGGAATCCCTGGGAAGATTGGCGACGTGATCGAGTGCTGGTGCCAGTGGCGGATGGTTAATGGGAGGGAGAGTGTGCCGGGTTCGACCTGGATCTGAGATCAAGGGCGGTCGTATATCTCGACGGTGGTTGGAAGAATTGGCAGAGAAGCGGACTAGACGGGGACCCGGACAGGTACTAGTGAAGGTGGGATGGCACTGATGCGCATCAGCCCCCGAAGCGGGAAAAGTCCAGAAGAATGGTGGATCGCCTGAAGAAAAAAGCTGGCGACGGTGTCGGACTTGGGGGCGAATTGGATGTTGAGGATTCGGGTCGGCAAGGGAGGCGCAAGCAAGAAAAAGGGATTTGGTCGAGTCAAGGATGATGATGGTGTTGAATCAGGCAAATCAGGGAAGACAACACCTTTTCTTGTGTCGAGGTACAAGTGGTCGGAGTATCCTGTAACTGTCTAGAAGATGCCAAAACCCCAAAGCAAGACGATGAATGATCAAGAAAGGCGGTGGGAAGGGGGAATCCACTGGTGGTATGATGTGGAGGGAGGAGGGAAAAAAGTAAACAATGAAAGCAGCGACAGTTGAAGAAAGAAAGAAAGAAAGAAAGCTATATGAGCCTCAGATATATAGCTTCTAGAATGAAAGAAAGAAAGAAAGAAAGAAAGCAAAAAAGAGTAAAAGGCAAAAACAGAAGAAAGAAGAAAGAGAGAAAGAAAGAAAGAAAGAAAGAAGCAAAAAAGAGTAAAAGGCAAAAACAGAAGAAAGAAGAAAGAGAGAAAGAAAGAAAGAAAGAAAGAAGAAAAAGAGACATTCCCAGCCTTCCCACCAAAAAAGTGACTTGCGGGTGTGCTGTTTCCATCCCCTGNCGCACAACCTGACAACGGGCGGGCACTGGGCAACAACAACCACCTATTTTCCCCAGCCTCCAGGGGTGGGAAGGGCAGGCGCAGGGCAAGGGGCGGGAGCGGTGGATCAGAGGAAGATGCAACTCAGGGTTCAGGTTTGGCAGCATCATGCAATCACGACCACGACATTTCAATTACCTTGCACTTGACAATAAGAAGCCTCTTCATCTTAGCGAAAATATGGAAGCATCAAAATCTCAACATGTGCCAGCGTATTTTGTTGTTCAGACATCTTGAACTTGCCAAGTTGTCAAAGGCGGTCTGGTCTGGGCCAAGCCCAATGCAATGATCACCACCACCGCCTCTCTGCACCTCTGCACCTCTGCACCTCTGCACCTCTGCACCTCTGCACCTCTGCAGTGTGGGTGCAGTAGCGGCGTTCCTTTGTGTGTGTCCAGCGGCGGTGGGATGTAACCATTCATAACGACGGGAACCAGCCAGCCAAAGCCACCGAGAAGTCTGAATCGAAGGGTTGGATGATGTCTAGGTACAGTATTGTCTTGTCCAAACAGTTGGAAAAGTTTTGAAGATATTCGGTGATCAAAACAAATCGTGAAGAACTGAAACCTCAATACACCGTTTGAAGCAATTTCGGCATTGAGGTGGTCCCAGCGCTTGCGGAGAAGTGATCGATGTCGCAACTCCCGCTTCAACGAAATTGCCTTTCCTCAAGAAAATCCGGGGTATCATTTTAGTGTACACACTGTATTTGACAGCCACAGGGGTAAGTAGTCGGTCGGGTGGTTTGTTACCAAAGGCCAGGGGTACCGAATTGGGTTTGTTGTTGTTGGATTTGGGTGGTGTCAGGGTGTGCGATCGTGTTGGCGGGAATCGGAGATGGCAAATTCCTTTGCAGTCCGGTAGCGAATATGGACGTCTTTGTTTTGTCCAAGATGGGAATGATGATGGGTGGGTGGCCAACGAGCTCTTTTTTTTCCTTCGACATTCTGGGCATTCCTCATCGCCCAGGCGAGCCAGGGCAGCGAGGATGCGAGACCGGAAGGTTAACCACTTCACGCATCCAGTTATTATCAAGTAAAGGAGGCGAATCATGACAGAAACCGACTTGACGAAAACTGTCAATGATTCAAAGTCTTACCAATATACACAACACAGGTAGCGCTCATATAAGCTCTGAATGGCTGGCTCAGCTGGGTGGCTGGTAGGGCCATGATTTGCGACTCTTCTGGTTTTCGGGACGCTGTTTGTATTGGTGGATAGTCAGATTGATTACCTCAGGAGCAAGATGATGGGCAACGATCATGAGTGGGTGTTGAGGAAATGAGAGTGTTAGAGACAGTGACCAATAAGATTTGATTGTCGCACTGGAAGTTGGGTTAGGTGTGTTTTTGGTGATTGTATTTGTTTGGTTGCCTCATTAAACGCTGATGAGAATTCCCCAACCGTGTAACCGATTTTTCTGGTATAATGAACCTGAACTAGAGCGGACTTTTATTAACAAGGCAAGACGTGAATTCATACCAAGAGCGCTCTCATAGCTCCACGGGGTGTCCCAAAAGCGACCTCGGCGTACTGCTCCCACAAGAGTCCGGCCCCCCCCCTCCGGGTCTTGGCATTCGGCATCGCCGATAAAGTGGGCCCAAGCCCGTTTCCCCAGTCCCCACATCGGTCCGTGACGTACAATTCCTTATGCGCATCCCGGCCACACTGGCAAGACAACCACGATTGACGCACAGCGATTCCATATGATTTTTGAAAGACAACTCTTATGGGCTGATAGATACCTAATCTCAACAACGAAAACAAAAGTTTTGTTCTCTCGTGCCTAAATCTCAACCTACACAACCACCACTGCACCTTCCAGCACTTTCCGTTCTTGAGGACAAGCACTGGCGTGGCAGATACAACCGACACTACCAATTTCCCTTATCTACCATAGGCCTGCCCGTGACGGGACATTTCGCTTTTTTCTTTTTTGAACTCTTTAATCTTCTTCTTGACAAGTACTCACCAATTACCAATTACCAAGTCCTACTCGTCTGGTTCAGTAACAACCACTCTAGCCGAAGAGTCGGGGACGTTAATTCGCAACTGAAATTTTGCAGGAACTGAGCACCTATTGCAGGTGTGTCTTCCATCGAAAATTGGGATAATGGCAGGTGTGACATGGTATTCGCGATTTGAAGTCGGCCGCAAATAAACGTTCCCTGACCTGGCTGTCAAACAGACGCAGACTTATATGCGACACTGCATCCAGAATCCAGATGCAAGTCACTCACTCACTCACAACAGCAGTTGATGATTCGGTTCGGCTCTCAGTCTTCTACAGGGAACACGTCCGTGTACCATACACCCAATCCTCTCGATTCTCAGCTTCGAAAGCCCTGACAGGGTGACAATCTAGGGGGTAGAGACCATGACTGAACAAGTGTCTTCAACTCAGCTCCATACCATCAAGTCCCCGTTCGTCACCTGGGAGTAACAAAATTGGCAAAGTGAAGCTGATAGCTGGACCAGAATGATACACCCGGCATACCTCCGATGGAGATGGTGATGGAGATAAATCTCAACGCCGGAGGCATCATGCAGGGTTATAAATGTCCCCCAAACCGCGCTTCCTTTGCCGCGTGCTTGAGCTCGTAATCTTTGGCCTGCAGCTCAAGAAACCCCAAACCGGTACTCATGCATGGAATACCAAAGTACCTATATTGAAGATACTCGAGCTTGCAGGAGAAATATGAACACGTAGCACCCACTAACATAAAAGGCACCTTCTTAAACCTCGACCTCCCCCTCGACCTCGAGCAAAAGCTTTCTCCCTTTGACCATCCAACTTTCAGTTCGAGCCGAGTAATTTACCTACCTTGGCCAAATTCACAACCAGGATAATGGAGCTCAACGAACTTAATGTCCCCATCAAGGACCTAGCCACAACCGCAGCCATGACGGTTCCCACAAGCCTTCCACCCGCTCCTCCTCCTATCTTCTCCAGCCTTCCCACCGAGATCATCGCCATGATCGCCAAGGAGCTCCTCCTCGACGCAAAGGGACCCGAAGGGCCGTCCAAGGACGAAACTTCCATCAGATGGAAGAAGGAACGCAAGTGAGTAACATCATAACTGATGGACGTGCTGCCCCAAGATATCAATCTTGGAGAAGGTCCAGTCCAGTCGTGACTAACAATCTATAACAATCATAGGGCAATGGGCGAAGCAATCACCGGCTTGGCTTCCCTCGCTCACACCTCTCGTCGCCTCAACAAGATCGTGACGCCCGTCCTTTACGAGCACCCGTTCCTGCTTCAACAAAATCGATTTGACAGCACATGTAACATCGAGCATCTTTACGGTCTGGTTCATTTGCTCGGGAAAGACGACGGGCTTGCCGACCTGGTTCGATGCTATCAAGCGTGAGCCCCTCAGCCCTCTCCATGGTTTGATAATCCCGTTTGCTCCTTACCTAACTGTAAACTGACTTCATATTCCTGAGCAAAGTCCCAAGATAGCAATCTCGGACACACTAGGAGCGTTCCTGGATCGCTGCTACCGTGAGCCAAAGTCCTACCAGAAGGTGCTCACCTTGCTGAACAAGTACATTCCATTCCTGGCCAATATCGTGGCGGGGCGCGGTCACCTGGATAACGGGTACTTGGAAGCGCCGGGAGTGATGGCCGACCTCATCCCGGCGGTGATTCTCTGCCATTGCCGCAGTATCAAACAGCTCGATCGCCTGAGCATTGGTGGTAACAGAGGCGGCAACTGTTGGCGGTTCTTGTGGAGGGACGTGGTCGCCGCCGGGTCCAGCGTTACGTTCCCGAATTTGCAATCCGCAAAGCTGGAATCGTTTACGGAGCTACATTTGCTGCCGATAACAAACATGGCAGCACTTCGGCGGACACTTACTGCCGTTGATGAAGCCGTCTCTTTCGTCAATCACGCCGCCCCCAGCCTCCGACACCTGACGCTCAAGTCATTCGCGAGCTGCAGCAGTTGGGACGGGGGGCCATCAACAGTTCCAGATCAGATTCCTATTCGTACACTGGAAAAGCTCACTTCGCTGGAGATGCATTACTGCGCGTTTTTGAAGGAGACAGACCTGTGCAGGATCATCAAAGCTTGCCCCAAGTTGGAACGTTTTGTCTTCACGTCTGAAGCCAGCCCAAGAGGCGGTGGGAGATTCACGGGGTTGAAGTCAGCGTTTATCGGCCCCAAGATGGCCCTCAAGGCTCTGGCGCCGGTTTCGCAACAACTCAAGGCACTGTCTATAAAATATGCGGCACTAGTCGATCTTTCCTTCATGGACGTACTAGACGATGATGATACGGACATGGACATGGAGGACGACGACATGGACATAACTGACGACGACGCAGACATGCTCAACGACACAGACACCGATTACGATGACGAGATGGACATGGATCTGGATATTGACGAAGACGGACCCATGGACCCCAACGAAAACTTGATCAAGACCCTCGGCCACTTCCAGCAGTTCCTAAACCTCAAGATCCTGCGCATCAGCCACAGCGCCCTACATCGGTGCCGGACACCTTCTTCTTCCTCAGACAGCGGTCCCGATCTGGAAGAAAAAGACCAGCAGCTAGTCGACCTGATCAAAGGCTGTCCAAGCCTAGAATCGCTCGACGTCACGCAATACGACATCCAAAATACTCCAATCCGGCCACAACTAGAAGGACTCATAGCAGCTGTGGCCAGCACTACACCTTTGTCCCAGTCGTCCCAATTGTCCCAGTTAAAGTCCATCAGAATCTCCCTCGACACCAGCTCCCGCCGCTTAGAAGCCGACTGGATCAACGATAACTCCGACAACCCCTACCTAAAGGACCAGTTTGCTCGCCAACACCTTACCAAATACATACAGAGAGGGATGAAGCTGAGGATCGACGTGGCGCCGCTTAAGGAATATGAGGTTTTGGAACCTTTCCCTGGCCCTGGGTCTGCTACTACTGGTCAAAATCGGGGAGGCGTAAGTTTTGCGCCTTGTCTCGAGAGGTTTTTTGCCGCCGGCTCCGCCTCCGGTTGCAAGGAAGAAGAACAAGAAGGTGGGAAGGGGAAGGGGGGGGGGGGGGGGG